AAAAAATGTGTTTTTATACTGGTTTTTTTTTTTTTTTTTTTTTTTTTTCTTAAAAAAAAAAAAAAAAAAAAATTCGAATCATTCGATAACGCCATCTTTCGATATTATTACACATCGAAATGACATTCAAATTTATCAAAATTAAAAAAAAAAATTCATTTGATTTTCAAATCAATATTTTTCTAGAAAGAATTATTTTTCTATAAATGATCAAGATTAAGATCGAAGATTTGAATCGTTAAGATTATTTGTTTTTTTTCAAAACTGTCATTGAAATCAATTAATTTATCTGAAATTAAAATTGGAAAAAAATAATTAAATTTATTGCTAAAATAAAAGCTTCAAGCTAAAACAAAAATTCATGATCAAGGTGACAACAACAAAAAAAATGAATTGAATTCATTTCGAAAATACAGATAAAATTCGATTGCAATATTGGTTTTTTTTCGTTTGTTTTTCTTTCTTTTCACGCTTAAATTATTAGTCGCATGTTAGATGAGCGAATTGCATATGATCATTATCGTTGATGAACCGTTGAATCAAACATTTTAATTCCATACCTCGTGTTTTAGCTACATTCTTTTGTAATCACATTCCAAATATGAAATAAAATAAAATAAATTAGTTAAAACGAAAAAAACAAAAATTAATTAATTAATTACCAGAAAATATTTACCACGTGAACCATTAGGATCAAGTGTAAATTGCCATAATCCAAAATAAGTATCAATAATATATGCAAGCAATGTAAATGCTTTAGATTCGGCTCGTAATTGTTGTAATGAATAATGATGATTATTAAGTATTTCATCAATATAATCATCATTATTAGAATTATTAAATTTGAAAAAATTTCTTACAAATTCATGACGATATTCATCAAGAAAAATATTCATTTCTTCATCGTTGGGAAAACCTTCATCACCAAACATATTATCATGATGTTTATAATTGGAAAAATATCTACCAATATCATTACCACGATGATAATATGTAGAATAATCAAAATCAATTAGAACAATTTGATCATTATTGATGATACGATTATTACGATTAAAATCATTATGTGAAAATACAATTGTTTTTGTTTGATCACAAATACGATAACATAATCGAAAAATATCTTTATTCAATTTGATAATATCGATATTTTTGGCAAATTCATCTAACAAAATTGTGGGGGAGAAAAAAATTAACATTTGTAATCATAGTAATTTTTTGTTTTAAATCATACAATATTCTTGCCGTAATTGTTCATCTTTTTCGATCAAAGGTAAATAGGATTTATCACGGAATACATCATAGAATGGCATTAATTCAATATTTTCCATAGTCATTGACCAACGTTGTTGTGAATCATTAGAAATTGGTACATTAAGCGAATGAAATTTGGCCAATGTTTTTGCCAATTTTTTTACTTGTTTTTCATCACAATCATCATTATAATTATATGCACGACCATTAATTAGTTCATATACTTTATGTTGATGATCAGTATAGAATAATCGTGGTGCAATACCACTGGAATAGATAATGGTATTGATTACTGATGTTTCTAATGGATCATATTTAATGAAAATATTTTCTGGTAAAATTTTTACTACAAGTTCATCATACTGAACAATTGGGGAACCATTTTCTAATGATTTGTTCGATGGATTCAATCGACAACATATAACTTCACAAATATTACCTCCTCTTTATATAAAATTAAAATCAATAATTGATGATCGAATCAAATATCCATAGAATAATTACCCAAGATATTCAGCTTGAAAATCTGTTTTATCTTTTATTTTTGACCAAACATTGGTTGTATTGAATTTTTGAAATAATTCAATAAGTTTTTCAAGGATTTCATCGGATTCAATCATTTTAAAATCCAATTTTTTTATTTGCAATAAACAACAACAACAACAACCTAAATCGAATCTGTGTATACTTATTTAAAGTGTATCTTTTTTTTCTTTTCCATAAATTTTTTGTTTGATTATTTTGATTGATTATTTTAATCAATCAATCAATCAATCAACCAAAAATCAATTCATTTTCACATTTTAAAAACGCGCCCAAGACAGATATTTTTATAAAAATAAAAATAAAGTTATCATCGTTGTTATCACATGATATTTTCTAACAGAACGTGATTTTTGGACAAAAACTTAAGAAAATACGATGCAATTGCTAGCGATTGATTTGAATGATCATATATTTTTGTTTTTTTTCAATCTTGAAATTTTTATCGCATTTTAAATATTCATAAATTATGTATTTTCAAATAAGGGTAAATAACTTTGGTGATAATGATAATAATTTTTCTGGTTTTTTTTTGTATTTTATGAGATAAATGCACTGATAAAAAAAATATGAAGAAAAAAAAGGAAATGTTATAAAAAGGGTAGTAAATGACCATTATTTTTTAATTTCATTTGAAATAATCATGGCCAACATCATTTTTATCATTGTAATGTCGATAATATCGATATCCATATTGATTCAAGATTCAAATCAACAATCAAACAATTGTGATCGAAAGGCAGTCGATCATTGTATGTTAGAAATGACTATAATTGGTGATCCAAAACAACGATTTCCTATTGATTTAGATACAATGAATGAACGTTGTCGACAAATGAAACGTTTGGAAAAATGTGTTAGAAATTTTGCACAAAATTGTCTTCAATCCGATTCACGTAATACGGTATTCAAATTGATATTCAGTATTAGCCTTACAAATAAAGGATATTGTACTCGTAAACGTAAACCGGCTTACATTTCGATTGGAAATTGTGCTAATCCTTTAATGATAGAATTGTCAAAAATTATTAATACCTTTACACGATCATTACATGGTGTACGATATTATCCGGAAAAAAATTTACGAATACCATTGCTATGTTGGTAAGTAAAATTTATTGATTTTGTTGATATGATTTTTTTTTCAAATATCTCCTTTTTTTAGCAATTATTTCTTATTCAAACGTTCCATATTGAATGTGATTGATGAAAATTGTTTACAAACACATGATGAAGTTGAACATTTAATCGATGGTTATGGAAATGATCTTGTCAATTTTATTTGTAATGATTATACTGAAGATTCAGATAAATGTGGTACGATTATAGATCAAACACCCAAATGGAATAAACCATTAAATTATACTAGTTTTATTATACCAATAGCAGAAATTGTTAATAATTTATAATTTAAAAAAAAAATCTTAAACAAAAAAAAACATCAATCCTTGAGAATATTGATTAATCATTGTTTCAACCGATGGACAAATGTTTATCATCATTGATTTAGTTATTTTTTGGGAAAAAAACGTATATGAAAATCCTTCTCCTGCTGTTGTTGTTGTTGTTGCTGTTGCTGCAATCCAATCCAAAATGATCCAAATAATGAAAAAAAAAATATTTCGAAATGCTTCGTTCATTTATTTTGAATTTTATATGAACCTGTTTTTTTTCATTGCAATGTTTTTTTTTCTAATTAAAAATCATTAATGATTGCTGTGATAAACAATTAAACAAACAAAAAAATCTTGAATTTTTTTTTTGTGTGTAAAAAAAGGGTAAAGAAAAAAATCCAAACATCAGCTGTAAAAAATGTTTGGATATAAAAAGCGTTTTGCGATACGATCGACGAATTAATTCGCAAATAATCATAAACTTCAAATAATCTAAATTTTGAATCAAAAATTTCAAACTACCTCTAACAAAATGATGATTATCATGATCAAAATACCGTTATTGTTGATGATGATGTTGTCTTTATCATCAGTAATTGCTGAATGTGATATTAAAAAAGTTGATAAATGTATGCTTGAAATGGCCATTATTGGTGATACTGAATTACGTTTTCCAACTAATCAAACAGCAATGAATGATCGTTGTAAACAGATGCGACGTTTAGAATATTGTGTAAAAGATTATTCAAAAAAATGTCTTACAAAACGTGCTGGTCAAACAACTTCCGTATTGATGTATGGCATGACCAAAACAAATAAAGCATTTTGTTCGAAAAAACGACAACAATCATATTTACGTATTGGACGTTGTGTAAATAGTGATCCGCAAATATTTTCAACAATAATGAATCGTTTGACTAAATCATTTCATGCAATAAAATCATATCCAAAAGAATCGATGCGTATTCCGTTGGTCTGTTGGTAAGTCTGTTTTGATTGTATTTTGTTGAAGTCACAATTTTAATTACAAAATTTCATTTCCCCAGTAATTATCATCGATTCAAAGAATCAATTATGAAACATGTGGAAAAAATCTGTCCAAATGAATATGATGATGTTGAAACATTATTGGATGGTTATGTAAATGATGTTGTCAATTTAATCTGTGGTGATTATACAGCCGATTCGGATAAATGTGATTCAATCATAGCTGATACACCGGAATGGAAACAATCATTAATATATAAAAGTTTTGTCATACCATTGGCACAAGTTGTTGATAGTATTTAATGTTTTTTTTTTCAATATATGGATGATCTCATCATCTCTTTTTTTGTTTCATTAAAATTTTCAACAACATCCAAAATAAAAAACAGCAAAAAAATTAATAAAAATTCTTGAATTCAATGATAATGAATATCATTTTTGTTTTATCTATCTTTACATTGATAAAATTAATAATAAAAAAAAACAGAAATCTATTTACATGGTCATTTTAATTGCTTGCTACGGATGCTTCTAGTGATTGATAATGAATTGAAGAAGGTCGACAATGAAATTGACCTTTAAAAAAAATTTTATTTTAATTTTATTGTAGTTATGGTTGCGGCTGTTGTTGTTGTTGCTGTGGCTGATATTGTTGTTGCTGTAGTTGCGGTTGTTGTTGTTGTTCTTGATCTTGTTGTTGCTGCGGCTGTTGTTGTTGTTGCTGTTTTTGTTGTTGTTGAGATTTTTCAAGTTTCCGTTCTAACAATATGAAACGATTAGTTACTAGTTGTAATCGTTTAATAAGATCTTCATGTACCATTTGATGACGATCGATTAGATCATTTATATCACCAAATGGATTTGATGCCTGAAATCTTAATCTTGCTAATTGAAATTGTAATAATGATAACATTCTTGTTAATAATAATTGTTTATCATTTAAAATGATTTCATTTTCTATATTTAAATCTTCATTATCATTGTTATTATTACCATTATTATCATTATCATTATCGCTATTGTTATTCGTATTTGTAAAAATAGTCGAACTTGTAATATCAATATTTGATTGTCGTTGTTCTTGCTCTTGAGGTTGTTGCGGTTGTTGTTGTTGTTGTTGTTGAGGTTGTTGTTGTTGAGGTTGTTGTTGTTGTTGTTGTTGTTGTTGTTGTCTTTGTTGAGATAATTGTATTTCATCATTATCACTTCGTATTGTAGGTGTTAATGATATTGATGAAACTGATAATGATAATGATAATGAATTTTCACGTGTATTTAAACGATTACATAAAGCACGAAATGTAAATGGAAATTTTGTTGGCTGTATTCGTCGATTATAATAAAAATAATTTTCATTATCAGGTGATGCTTGTTGTTGTCTATTTCTTGGAACAATTGGTCTCATTACATTATAATCTTCATCATCATCGTCATCACGATTAATATCATATGTATCAATATCATAGAATGGAATTGCTGCTGATGATGATAATGTTACTGGTCGACAACGAATAGTACAATAATAAAGCCATGTCCATTGTATTAATAATACAGCTGGTAACCTTCGTCTAATATGTTTTTTCTTATGTCTTTTTTGTTCGGCTACTTTTAATGCAATACCGGTAGCAATAATACCGGATGGAACAGCATATAATGATATTGAAAATAGAAACATCAATGATGCTATAAAACGGCCAATAGTAGTCTGTGGATACATATCACCATAACCAATAGTGAGTAATGATATCAATGACCACCATAATGTTTTTGGTATTGAAGTAAATTTTGTATTTGGTTCATTTTGTTCAATAAAATACATTGTAAATGTTATTAAAATTAAACATATTGAACAAACATAAAATACTGTATATAATTGTTGATGTTGCATCCAAATTACCGACATAACTAAACGCCATCGTTTAAATGGTATATCTAAACGTATTAATTTTAATATCTGTACAAAACGAAGCCAATCAAATGTATTTTGATAATGTTTTGTATATGTTACTTGTTTAACTAATAAAACACCGGTAATAATCAAAACTAAAAGATCAAGTAATGCACATGGTGTAAATATATAACGTAATAGTCCACGCCATCCACGATAACGTGGTATATGTGGTACAGCCCATAAACGAATAAAATATTCACAGCTTAAAACAAAAAATATAATACCATCGGTAATTATTAATCCTATCGATGACCAATGATAATATTCGGCAACAGTTGCTAACGAAAGAAATGCTAAATCTATTATCATTAATGATGATACAAAATAATGATATATTAATGCCCAACGATTTGTTGGATATGTTAATGCATGAAATAAAAATCTTTGTTTTTCATATTTTTTACGTTGTAATAATCGTTGTAATCGTCGTCTTGTTGATGAATTGGAATCATGTCTAGCTAAAATAGGAAATGTTGGTATTCGATTTTGTTGTCCTGTATTCATTCGTTCATCTGTTGAATCGGTTGATTGAATGGATGAAATTGAAATTAATTGCTCCGTCTTTTTTTTTGATTTTTAGCAAACAAAAATTTCATCATCATAATTTCATAGGCCTTTTATTACTTCGAACTAAAATTCGAATTCGAATATAATTCTTTTCAAATAACATTATAAAAATTGTCCAATAGATGGTGCTTCATTGCTATAATTTTTTTTTTGAAAAATTGATAACCGGTTGTTATCATTTGAAGAAAAATTTCCTGATCATGTTATTCATGGATATGATCATACAAATCATAAACAAAATGATGCCTGGAGATTTTCAATCGGGAAAAAAAATCAAAGAAATAATGACCTAAATGTCCAACATTTCGGCATTAGACATTTAAAATTATTTCCATCATAAAACTGAGGAAAAAAAAAGATGGGTTAAATTTATTTCTTGGAAGAAAAATCACTGAAATTAGGTTATTACCGGACGAAAAAAAAGAAGACTTTTTACACCCAACCACAAAAAAACCCTTTCAGTCGATATGGAATCGAATGATTTTTTTATTTTTGATAATGGATTGATGTTTTTGATAACAATTCAAGTACCATTTTTGGATCTGATTTTGAAACAATTTTTTGCGATTATTTTGTTAAATAACAATCTTCATCAATCATTTGTTTTTTCTTTTATTAATCTGATATCCATCAACACCTAATCATTAAATTTGGCCAAACAAAAACATTGGCCAAAAAAAAAATCAAATCAAATCAAATGATAATGATAATCACTCATTCAAGAAGATCATTTATGATGATGATGATGATGTTGATCTAAATTTGGATCCAGTTTTTTTTGTTTGATGAATGTATGTATTTTTAGAAATTAGATCAAAAACCAACAAAAAAAAATTTTTTTAATCAATCTGGTTTCTTTTCTTGCTGTTTTGTTTTGTTTTGTTCACCTTCAAAAAAAAAAATTTAGGTTTCCACACAACATCGTGATCATCATCATCATCATCAATGATCTGTAAATAGAAACAAGGAAAAAAGAGAGAAAACCTGGATACCAAATAATAAAATGAAATGATCCACTTATGTTTTGACCAGTGTAGGAGGAGGTGATTTGTTGAAGAACGATTCGGTGATATCGCATTTGACATTGTCTCTCTAATTTTTTTTCTTCTTCTTATATATTTTGTCTTCGGAAATGTTGTTTGAAGAAGAAGAAAAAAAAATATCATCGTTGACCTCGACATTGACAATGACCTAGATCGAGAAAAGAAAGAAAGAAAGGAGAGAGAAAATCTTTTCTTATTCTCGTATATAGATTTATTTAATCAAATTTCATCCGTATTTTCATATATGATATCGACATCGAAACAAAAAACTGGTTTGGAAATGTTTTATAGTCATCTGATATGATGATATTACCACCACCACCACCACCGTTATTATTATTAATGGGGATAAAAAAAAACAGAAAACCAAAACCAAACCAAACAACAAAACAAGAAGAAGAATTATTAACATCGACCTTTAATGGTTGGTAAAAAAAATACATCATCAAGATGATAATAATGATGATGATCTACTCTCTTTTTGAAGACCAAAAAAAACATTAACCTTGATTTATTCTGGTTTTTTTTTTGTTGTTGTTTTGTTGTCTGTCTCTAATGTTGTTTTGAATCCGAAAAAAACAAAACAATAAACCTTATTAATAACGGGACAAACAAGCAAAACAAAACAAAATTAGAAGCAAAAATCATTTTAGAAATCAAATTTTTTTTTTTGATTGAAGAAAAAAAAGGTGTATTTTTATTCTATTAATAGCATCAATGGATGATGATGAGCTGCATCAATTTTTTTTATTCATTCCCAATTTATCGATTGAACAGAATTCAAAAAAAGGGATGCAACAACAACAACAACAACAACGTAAAACAAAATTGAGGTCATTCAACTATTTATTATTATTAATCATGTTGTTGTTGTTGTTGTTTTTCCTGACTTTTTGTGTTTTTGGTGATGGTCATTGTTTTTTCGAGGTCAGAGAGTTCGACGATGATGATGATGATGTTATTTTTGAATTTTTTTTTAAAGAATCATTACTGGGGCAATAATCGATATAATCGATTTGTTGTTAATCCATTTTAGGAATCTGATGATTTGTCTGTCCTTATATATATCTGTAGAGGGAACGAGCAAACAAATTCAATTCAAATGTCATTGAACTGTTTTTGATTGATTGATTGATTGATGTTTTTTCTTATTGAATCTTTGATATTTTTATCAAACAAATTTTTTTGGTTTGTTATCATTCTTATAATAAAATGACATAATAATGATTTGAGGAGGAGGGTTGTGTGGGAAAAAAATCCGGATTTTACAAAAAAATTTATCATTTTAATTTGTGACAACAAAGAAAACAACAACAACAAAATTTGATTTCCGCAATTTTTATTTTTCTCTAAAACAAAACATGATGATGATATTCACCGGAAATGTTTTCCAAAAAAAATTGAAAACGAGTAAAAATATTTCATCACCAACAATAATGACAATCATCAAGGTCATCAATACTATTTGGTCCTTTTCAATCAAATTTTTATTTCATTGTGTAGAAATTCCCGAATGATTTCTTTTTAAAAATCTTTGCATTTGAGAAAAGTAATACTAATTGTCGCTATCTTTGTTTCGGTGTAAAATTTTATCCAATGTGCAACAATATTTGTTAAGTTGAAATGCAAAATGATTGTTTTGTTTTTTTTTCAAGGTTTTCGCCAGGTATTTTTCTTTTTATTTATGTTCGTGTGCAGCCGTGTGTGTGTGTGTTCGTTAATCTTGAACCTGAACTTGAATATATTCATTGAATCGAGATTTACATTGATTTTTTAAATTGAAAATTTGATTGAAATCCATCATTCATTTTATCGATGATTTATAAATATATTGAGGAAATGAAATCATAGATGATATTGTGATTAACATTGATTTCATTTTTGTTGTTGCTTGGTTTGTTGTTTTTTATGATATTGTTGTTGTTGTTGTTGTCGCAGCAAATAATGATAATCATCATCATTGTTTTTTTAACGATAATAACAACAAAAACAACAACGTAATTATTATCATCATTAACTCCGAACCAGAAATAAGGGTTATTCATTCATTATCGCCATCAATTCGGTTCACTAATTCGATGATGATGATGATGAGCAATCAATTTAAAATTGAAAAACCGTCAACGTAATGAAATAATATAGAATAAGGAAGTCAATGTTTGTTTATGTTTATAAAATTTTCACATCATCATCTTTCCTGAAAGATTTACCAGTTTTATCTTTTGGGGTCCTAGATATTTTTCCGAAAAAAAAATCCAGAATAAAAACCAACGGCTAATGATGTTATTGATTTATCATTGACGGTTGATTAACTCTTCATTCATTCATTCATCGTATGGTGATAATGAAAGTTCAATAACCAATCAAAGAGAATAAAAACTTTCATTAATTCAAATCAATGATTTGTGCGCATCTGTTTCAACAACAACAACAATGATAATAATGATAATAATTGTTTTTAGCATCGTTTTTTTTAATGATAATGATCTTTTTTAATTAAAGAAAAAAAAATAACAATGACGCCTTTTTTGAAAAAAAAATTATTACATAATGCCAAAAAGCAAAGAAGAATAATTCTGGGGAAAACAACGCCACTATTCTTCCATATTCATACATTTAGCCAAAGTCATCATAATCATCATTACATCCACAACATCATCCTCCATTTAGAGGTGATTCAACTCAAATCTCTCTCTCACTCATTCACTATTGCCTTGTCATTCACACTTGGGTATTTCACATTGGATACACACACACGCAACATTCATTCAACCATTGATTATGATGATAATGATGATTAGCATCTTTTCTTCCAATCATAATCATCATAATCATCATAGTAAGGAACCACTACTCTACCATCAATATCCTATGGATCAATGCACATTGACTGTATGTTTGTTTGTGTGTGTGTGAATGGCAAAATGAGATGATAGTATTTAGTGGTGTTGGTTGATGGTATTGATAAAACATATATAAGTATTACACCCGGAAAAAAAGAACTAAACAACAACAGTTTTTTCTTTATTCAAAAAAAACGTTTGTTTAACGAATGATGATAATGATCATCATCATCATTTTTTTGTAGATGGATGAATGAATACGCATCAAACAACAACCAGAACGACAACCCAAAACAACAACAACAACAGGCCAATCGCCCAACAAAAAAAAAGTTTTACGATCACATTAGAGGTCAACGATCAATTGTATCGTTGTGTTTTTCAGAAAAAAAAAGAAATTCAATAAAAATTCATTATATTCAGGGTAAAGGATGCTATTGAAATCCTGGAAAAGAACAAAGATTGTGAAGCAAGGGTATTTAAAAAAAACAGAGGCTGAACAAGTGAGAATTTAAGAAAAACTTTAAAATTCTGTTTAAAAACAACAGAACAAAATTAAAGAAAAAAAAGAATTTAGCTAGCAGCAATTTTGTTGTTGTTTTTTCCAAAAAAAGATATGTCAAACATATGATGATGACATATGACATAGCGGTTCATACGAAAAGCAAGTATAGTTTAATTGTTTATATTTGAAGAAGGATTTTTTTTTCTTCCTTATTTTTCTAAGACATACACACCATACACACCCACGTTATCAAATGGGATATAATCCAAACAAACAAACAAAAAAAATATACAGCATGAGTAAGCCAAAAGCAAGAAAAACTTGTATCCAAACTTGATCTTGGTCGAATTGGTTATTGGTATGGTGGGGTATATATCTTTCTCTCTCTCTCTCTCTCTCTCTCTCTTTCTGGTTGCATGGTCGAATGATCTTTTCTCATAATCATCATCAAGGATTTTTTTCAACCAATTTTTTTGTTCATTTAAATTTATTTGCTACAACAAAGATTTGTATGATCCAAACACGAGTGGGAGTAGATACAATTTTCTGGTTTATTTTATTTTGGTGCAACAGGCATCCTTCAATATCATTTTTTTTCTTTCTCTCTCTCTCTCTTTCAATCTTTCTGGTCATTGTAATGTTTGTTGTGTGTACAATGACATTCTACATTATTAGTCTGCGTATAATACTTGTTGTTGTTGTGGCTAAGAAAATATTGACTACAAATATAACTGGAATTTCATTCCTACAAACAAAACAAAACAACCAAAAAAGAAAGCTAGTTTAATCGACATCGAAAATCAATCAATCAATCAATCAAACATACCTTTTTTGCTGTGTGCAGTCTCTTCTGTTCGGTAAATGTGTGTGTGTGTGTGTTATATAACCGTAGTTGTGATTTAAAGTGAACAAAAACCGAAAAAGAGAGAGACAAATCAGAAAAAAAAAGTTATCGATAAAATTTAACTTAGCATCATCATCATCATCATAATCGAAGAATTTTCGAAAAAAACTTTTTTTTCATTATTCCAAACTTGCAGTGTGTTCCTTGTTGTTTGTTTGTTTGTTGCTTTTCGAAAATCGAATTGTAATTTCTTTTTGTTTCTTCGCTGTCTTTACGAATGTGATTTGAAAACATTTTTTTTGTTTGTTTGTTGTTTTTGTTTAAATAAATAATTTTTTTTTGAAAATTAACTTGTTGATCTTCTTGTTGATGACCAACAACCACATGGTCATTTTAAATTTATAAACAAAAAAAAATGGGTTGATTCGTTTGGTCAGAGTAAATCATCATCATCATCATCGTTATCCTATCTCTCCTGGGTCTATTTTCTTGAAATTTCTTCAATTTTCTCTCTCTCTCGCAACATTTACTCTACACACACACTTTTTTTTACAGGTAGAGGGTGTTTAAATTTTTTCTACTGGTTTCTCTTCCATCACACACAATACACCACTCGCAAACCAATTACAAATCAAAATCAATTCAACCAAGCCAAGTCAGTTTGTTTGTTTGGTTCAATTTCATTGCATTATGAACAACACATGCCATACATGCATTGTGTTTTTTGTTTTTTAATTTGTTGAAAATTTCATCCATACATCCAAGATATTGAAAAAAAAACATTAAAGTTTTTTTTTGCACAAAAAAAGAAGATTCTTCTCATATTCCAACGTCATCATCAACTGAATTGTTTGAATTTTGACCATACACTGTGTGATTTGTAAAAAAAAATTTCCCGGGAAAATATTTCATCAACATTTCACATTTCTTGGAAAATTTTCCACTAATAAATCTGATCCAAGAAAAAAGAAAAGAAAATTTTATATCTGTTATGTTTTTTATTATTATCATACGTTTTTCCTAGAAAAATTTCTTCTTTGAATACAAATCAGGTAAGATATTTCGCCATCATCATCATCATCATCATTATCGATTCGCTTTAATCCTTTGACTTCAGAGATTATCTTTTTGAAGAATATTATTATTCTAATCTGATGCAACAACAACAGCAATGTGTTTTAGGTGTAGGTGTAAATAGCTGCTCACAATTCATTCATTATGGTTCATCGAACCATCATCTTCATCATCATCATCATGATTATGATTTAGGGTTAGCGAACGATTTTCCATCGATCATTTTTTATTCATATATTCATCATTGTAGAATTTTTTTCATTTGTTCAACATGTCATGTCGATTTTTTTTTGCTAATTTTTCATTTTTTGCCTTTTCATTTCTTTTTCCTCAATCTAGCGATCATCATCACAACAGATTTTCAACCGATTTTCTTTTACAGAGCTCCAGTGTTTTGTCTTTGTGTGTGTGTGTGCAATAATCGATCATTTTTTTGAATCAAAATAATCATTTTTTTGGCGCCATTTTTTTCAGTTATCAACAAATTGGCAACAAGTAGTGACATCTTTCGATCAATATATGTGATTAATTTTGTGTTTGTGAAATTGTTTATCATCATCATCATCATCAGTTTTTTGAAAATTGTTCTGTTTTTCTTTATTAACGAAAACAAAATTAATGTGAAAAATTTTACCAGAGAATTTTGTTTTGTTTATTCCGGGAGAAAACTTTTTATATAATTATCATCATATTTCCGGCGTAAACATACCGAACCCAAATAAAACCGTAAGTAAATTGATTTACTAAGAATTTTTCATACGAAAGCAAAAGAGAAATCTACAGAGAAAAACCAATCAAACTGATTTGATTTAACTGGAAAAAAATCTTCAAAACGAAAATGATAATGATGATGATCAAATGATCAGCTAATTTTGATTTTTTCTTCCAATAAATCGATGATTAATCGAAAAATAAAAATATAGACAGTTTGGAGACAATTTGTCTACATTTAAAATATGATATCATTATGATTTTCTTTTTCACATATCATTTTTTTCTCGGTTTTTTTCTAAATAAAAATTTGAAATCTAACATTATATGTGGGTACAATATCTAAAGTAACTAAATCGTAACTATAAATGTACAAAGTACATTGTCAAGAGATTGTTATTGAAATAAAAATAAAAAATATTTCAATTTCATTAAGAATGTTGATTATTATTTAATTGATGTGATAATTTTCTCTGTGTGTGTGTGTGTGTTTGTTAGAGAAAGTAAACTAATTTACCCTCATCATAGAAGCAAACAAAATCAAATGAAATTTGATAAAGGTACATTTCAAATGATTTTTTTTTTGTTTTGTTTTCCACTATAAATATCGTCATTTTTTTTATAAAAAAAAGATGTTTCAGTATTTAGAGACATTCGAGATTCATTCATTCAGTGTGTTTTGCTAGATTTTGTTGTTTACAACACCATATTTTAATTAGTTTTTTCTGTTTTCGTTGTTAATGTGAAAAGTTTTCTTTCTGAAACAAAAATGAATCGACAATCAACAATTTTAAACGATTATAATCGTAATCGATTAAATTTGAATAAAAAAATTTCAACAAAAAATAATTCAATGATTCAAATAACATTGGAACATGATAAACATGAAAATAATGATTATTATTTGGTTAGACGCAAATCACGTAATAATAATAATAATAATAATAATCGAAAAAGAATGTTTATGACTGGTAAAAAATTGGTTCGTTTTCTTTTTTTTTTTGAAATAAATTCCTTTATGGCAGTGATATTGTTTTTTATTATTTCTGATTTTTGATTTCAAATGATTTAAATTTTTTTTTTTAATTTTGGGAATTTCCTTTTTTGTTTCTTGTTAGGCCAAACTGAAGCCGAAACGGCGACGTAATATGTTACGCATCATCGAGAATTGGCCATCATTACGATCGTTGGCCAATATGGACCTACAATCGTTGGTGCGTTCATTAAGGTCACAGGATAAAAAATCTATACAAAATATGCGTGCCGATTGTCATGCAGAAAGACCACCACGTTTAGATCGTTTACTTGAACAGGAAGAATTACCTGAAGATATACAAGTAGAAAATGGTTGGTCATTAGAACGTAAATCACCAAATGTAAACATTCTACAAAATGGTCTTATCGGTAAACGAAGACCAATCGCTAAATCAACTGATTGTATGTTTGGCCGTATGGGCTATACAAAAGGTTTACATGTATGGACAATACAATGGCCAGTTGAATGTCGGGGTACACATGCAGTAGTTGGTGTTGCGACCGAATCAATGCAATATCTACATACAAGTGGTAAGTTTTTTTTAAACCAAATTTAAAATTATCATCCAGAAATCAGCGTTATTAGACAGGTGCAACCATCTAGTGTCGAAAGTTTTAACTTGAAACTGAAAAAAAAATAAATAAAGAACTGATAATAAAATTCTCATCACAAGGTGAACAAAACAAAATATTTTTATTGAAATTTCCAAAGAATTTTATTATTATTTTTTAATGAAAAATTTTTTTAAAAAAATTTTCTTTCTCTTTGATTCAATAAAATCTCTGTTAATTTTTGACATTATTAATGAGAGAAAATGTCAGAATGATAAAGAGAAAACCATGTCATCATCTACAAACATTTTGACAAGACCATTTGCCATTGTCTTTTCTTCAAAATAATTCTTGTTTTAAAAAGATATCTTCCTTCACAAACAAAAGAAATGAAAAAATTTTTGAACAAAACAAAACAAAACAGAAAAAAAAAATTCAATTTGAATAAAGATTCACACGAAAGAAAATTCAATTGAATTGAATTGTGAATTTAAATCAATTCAGATTTTTGAAGTATGAACGAATGAAAAAAACTGAGAATAAGAATGAAATGATTAGAAAGAAATTGACTGTGTGTGTGAAAGAAAGAGAGAGAGAGAGAATAATGAATAAATCGGTGAATGAATCTATTCCATGAATTCTACGAAGAAGAAGAAGAAAAAAATTCTGACAGAATATGTTGTTGGTTAAAAACCACTAAATTCGATTTTTTTCCTGTTGTTGTGGAGAAAGAAGAAAAGCATAATGTATGTGTGTTTGATTTTCAATTCCATCTTTTATTTTTATGTTTGCTTGTCAATTTTTTTTTCTTCACTCAATCCGTTTTGCCATCCATCTGGGATGTAGAACAACAGCAACAACAACAGAATATTCTCTAAAATGAATGTATTCTGTGTGGATACTCATATAATTAAATACTCATTTGACATCGTTTTGTGTGGTGGTGGTGATGGTGGTGTTAGGGTGAAAGCACCGTTATTATTTCAATGTTTTTACGAACATTTTGCACGAAATGCATCAAAATGTCAAAACATTATTCAATAGTGAATAGGAAAAAGATTCTTTATCGTAATGAGTTCTGGAAAAAAAGTTTCCGAAAAAACTTTTTTTCCGAAAATTTTCTTTTCCAAAAATTATACAATAATTTGTATTTAAACATTTTTTTGAATTTTGATCAAAATCAAATTTTTTTCCATATCTAATCTACTAAAATTGCTTGCCGGTTATGGTTAAACGTATCATTTTATGATTTTGAAAACATAACATAACATTTTAAGATGTCAAATTCAAAAACAACAACAAATTCCAAAAACTTTTCCCGTTTCTTTAGGGAAAGAAAAAGTTTTTAAAATTTTTTAATGATGATGATCATGATCATCATCATTATAAATCTATCCACCGACCTAAATAGCTTAATTAAAATTTGATTTGAAAATCAAAAAAATTTCAACAACAAAAAAAACATTGTCCCAGAAATCTGATTTGATTTTCGTTGTTGCATTGATTTTGAAAAAATCAATATTTTTTAAACATGGTTAAAAAAAAGTTTATCCCAATGTCCACCATAGATTGATGGTTTTGGTTTGGTTAATCGAGAAAAAAAAATTCAAACAAGCGAAACAAAAACTAACAATTTTTTCCTTTGAACAGAGAAAAAAAAGTTTGACATAACCATAACTTTATCGAAAAACATTATGTTTTTCCGAAGAAATTCATTTACAGAATCGGTTTGAAAACAAACATTTTGTTTGTGGTTAGTTAGTTAGAAAATCAAGAATGATCAGCATCAGCAGAAAAATCAATCTTTTAATTTAATATTTTTTTTTGTCTTTGATATGATTTTCAAATTTATTAACTAATATAAATTCAAATTGTATTGTAATTCTTGAATTATTTCTCTCTTTCTCTCTCTCTCTCCGTTTCTATATCGATCGTTATCGATCGATATACGGAATCTCGACCAAAATCAATGACATTTTGACCTTTTAATTTCTTTCTTTCATATGTTCAACTACTATAGAATCAATAAAACAAAATTCTAGCCAAAAAATTTCCATATCCACACACAATCATAACATATAAAAATTGAAATACACAGAACAAAAAATGAAGATGATGATAATTTCCATCTTTATCTTAATTATAGTTGCTGAAACAGAATAGAAACAAAAAAAAGTTATTAATAAATAAGTGGCCCTTTTAATGTAAACATCTTTACAGATCACTGATGATGATGATGATGACAGTGATGCTTTAGGAATTGGAGAGAATAAAGTTGATACTGAACTAAATAAAATTGAATAGAAAATGATATTCTGTTTTTCTTATTCAATCTTATCAAGATGATGATAATAGTGGTGGTGGTTGCTGTATGAAATTAATCATTGTCATCATTCTTCTATTTTGTACAAAGCAAAGTTGTTTGTTGATTAAAATTTATTTATTTTTTGTCAAAAAATCTTTTCGATTTTTGGTTTTATTTGAATTATTATTTTATCAAGTTAATTTTTTTGTTTTGATATTCGAACCAATTTTTTGGTAACAGGTAATTTATTCATGATCATCATTCATGATTTTGTTTTTTGTTTTTCTCTTTTCATTTCAAAATTGTTTATTACTTACTTACTTAATGTAATCAAGTAGTAATATCAAATTTCATTCATGAATATATACATTTAATATTGATTGCCTATTGATGTTACGGGTTTTTTTTCCTACTATTAATGTATAAATTAAAAAAAAAGAAGAAAATATAGATTGATAAATAAGAATATGAAATACAAAGTTATTGAATGAAAATGAGATGTTCAAAGAAAGAAAGAAAAAAAATCAATGATAAGTAATATTATCATCATCAATGTTGTTGGCAATTGGAACCCTTATTGCATCAATAATGATAATAATAAAAATCTATAAGAATTTTGAATGAATGAATTGAAAAACAAAAATTGGCAAAAAGAAATGAATCAAATTATCTTCGGGTTTTTTTTCTGTTGTTTCGATCGTTCGATAATTTTATTTATTCACTTCAAAATCTTCTCTTTTTTTTTGGTTCAAAATGTCTATTCTTTCCTCTTTTTTTAAATATTTTGTCTATGTTTAGTCGATTTTTAGGTTAGGTGACCAATGGGACATGTTGTTGGTTTGAATGAAAATTTTTTTTTTGTTTTGTTCCAATATAAATCAATAATGTTAATGTTTCTTGTTCCAGTCAATTTATTATCATTTTTCTTTTGTTGGTTCGTTTCAATCAAACAATCTATATACGAAAGAAAGCGAAGAAATGAAAAAATATAATTTTTTCTCTTGCAACATTGGATAATCCAATTATTTTTTTAAATGAAAAAAAAGATATAAAGATTCACTGCATTGTCAACAACAACAACAACAACAAAATCCTAAAGCAGAAAATTAAATATAAAATGAATTGTTCCTTATGTGTGTGTGGATTGAACGAAAAATTTCATATTTTTTTTTCATCTGTTTGTTCACTAATAAAACTGTGTCGTTTTATTTTATTTTATGTTGAGATTAAATTCATTGCTTTATTTCGGTTTTTTGTTTGTTTGTTTGACCATTATAATTAGCCAGAATTTATTGAAAGAAGATGCTTTTAACTTAATTAAACAGAAGCGAATTTATCATCATCATCATCATTATTTATCCATTTTGGATGATTCGAATTTTGTTTATTAATTATAAATAATTATATGGCAATTTTATTGTCATTTTTTTTTTGGTTTAAATTTCATTTATTTATTTTTTATTTTTTTCGTTTAAAAAAAATTCTAGGTTATTGTTCATTGGTTGGCAGTGATTGTGAATCATATGGCTGGGATATTGTACGTAGTAGATTTTTTCATAATAAAAAAGAAACAACATATCCAATATGGTTAGGATCATCATCACATGATAAATTTCAAATACCGGATGAATTTACGGTCGTATTGGATATGGATGAAGGTACACTTGGTTTTATTGTCGATGGACTTTATCTAGGTGTTGCATATACCGGTTTATCCGGTAAAAAATTATATCCTGTGATTTCAACTGTTTGGGGTAATGTAGAAATTGGTATACATTATACTGGCTATATGCCACCGGGACCATTATTATTACGTGAATGTTGTAGAAAAACAATACGACAACATTCAGGTAAAAAACGTATTAGAAAATTAGTACAAGAAACACGTATACCATTAGTGTTAAAAGAATATCTTCTTAATTAATCACTATTCAAAACGGACAAAAAAATCAATCAAAATCAAATCGAATTAATATAACGATCAATCAATCAAATCAATCAATCATCATCGATATAAAAAAAAGACCTTTCACAAATGATCTTTTTGAATTTACGAATCGTTTTTTTTCACAAAAAAAAAAATCAAAATCATCTTCATCTTCATCCACATCCATCATCATCATCATCATCATTATCGTTTACAGCTATTTCAACTACAACGATCATACATTTTCATTTTCATGTATACGCACATCATTTACAAAACAAAACATTTTATTAAAAAAAACAAAATAAATAAATAAAATTTGATGTTATAAATGAAATTCTTTAATTTTGTCCAAATTAATTATCAAATTCAGTGATTTTTGATTAAAAGAAAACAAATTTTGATTAAAAATCCTTGTAAAAGATTTCTTATAACATTTAAATAATAAAAAAAAAATTTAAAAATTAAAAATTTTCAAACCGAAAATCAATAATTTCCGCAATTCAAAATTTGAAATTTTCCTGAATCTTTTTCGTTTTATTTAACATTTCCTTCAACATTTTTAAAATCATTATCATTATTAAAATGAAATGAAATGTTTTTTTTTCTACGTACAAACTATAAATAAATAAAAATGTAATGATGATGATGATCATCATCATCATGATTATGATTATGGATCGTTGTTTTTTTTCGTTGTACTTTCTTTTGTCAGTCAGGAAAAAATTCTTGTTCTTGTTCATTAAAAGAACCGAAACAAAAAAAACTTGAATGAATAAATGAATGAATGTTTATGAAATTTGTTTTTCTATGAATACTATTGTGGTAGTAAAAGAGATGCTTATTTAAAAAAAAAATTTGAAGAATCTTAACCCCACAACATCATAATCATAATCATCATCATTAAAATTTTTGAATTTTCTTTTCTTTTCTTTCCATTTAAGCTTTTTAAACTTTTTGAATTGTTTTTTCTTTTGGTAAAAAAAAATGACAGAATTTTAATTTCACCATAAACCTGTAACAAATAGGAAGAAAAAAGATGCGTGCGCTTGTATGTTTGACGCATCTTTTTTGATTCCAAAATGGCATTACACATTCACGATTTGAATTCGGTATATATGTGTACGTTATATAACAAAATTGAATTGATGCTATCAACAAAAAATGAATCAGTAGTTTGGAGTAGATGTTCTTGGTAATGGGATATGTATTATATGTTTTTGTTGAATAAAGCATCAGTATTAGTTTTGAATGTCGAACCGTAATGGTGTTATCCCAAAAAAATTTGTTGTATCAAATTTTAAATTTATTCCAATGTTGTACGGTTTTCGATCTTCATTGTTGCAGAAAAATATTACCTTGTTTTTTTTCTTAACGTGTTTTTTTTGCATGTGGAAATTATTCAACTTGATCCATGGTTCACGAATCACAATTGCAACGATGTCCATGATTTTTTTTCGTGGATGATTTAAGAGAAACTTTCTGAAAAATGGACTTTGTTTGAATTTTTTTTCCCGTTTTGTTTGCAACAAACAAAAATCGATCGACCAACCGACCTAACAAACCTTAATTTGATTAACAAACGACGACGACGAAACGTTGGCAAAGAATTTTTGTTTTTTTTCTAAAATTTAAAATTTAAATTTTATTGCTACATAAGTGAGCAAAATAAAAAAAAACTAAAGAGAAAATTTTCATGAAATAAAATATTCTGTTACGAACGAAAAAAAAATAAGAAAATTTATTCATTCGGAAATTTTTCCCGAAATATTCAAGTGTTCGTGTGTTTGATTCAAATTTTTTTCCGTTTTTTTAGGATCAATAAAGAAAAAAATTCAAATTTTCGTTTTTCTACGGTGATTTTTTTTCAATTTTATTGTTGTTGTAACCAAATAATCATCTGATCATTTGATCTGATTTAAAATAAAAACAATGTTCACCAACGATATTTTGATTGATCAATGGTCATTGATCAATCGTAAACGTATTCGAAAGAAAAAGAAAGAAAATTTATCCGAATTGAATTGGAAACGTTTGCGAAAAATTACGAACAAATCATCATCATCATCACCAACTTTAGTGCCTTTATCAACATTGATTCTGTTGTTGAATCAATTTGAGCTTTTTAAAAATATTCAAATTTCATTCATCATTATCATCATCATTATTGTTATGTTTTGTGTATTATGTGATTGTTCATCAACAATGTTTTCAGAATCCAAAACATCATTACCATCACAGTCATCATCATCATCAATGAATTCATCTTCATTTTATTATCTGAATAAAACTTTAGTGCAAGGTAAATTCTTTGCTCTTTGAAATGAAAATTTCAAATTATTCTAGGTTTTTCTAGCTAAAGTTTTTCTCATATATCATTTTTGCAATAACAAAATTATGAAGAAAAAAAAAGAAATCCAAAAACAGAATAATTTCATTCGATTCAAAGAATAATCCTTATTCTTTTCATTTTCATATTTATTATTATTATGGAGAAAAAACGATGATGATGATGATATTAATGAAAAATTTCTAGATTACATTTTGTTCATTGATTAAAGATTGAGTTAATTGATGATGATCATGATGATAAAAATAATCATCATTTTCACATATTTATAAGTTCACACACACACACGATATTGATATTTAATCCCTTTCTATTTTTTTTTTTTTTTTTTTAATTTTTGTCGAATGATTTTTCAAAATTACCAATATTTTTCAGAGTTTTAGTTTCAGTTTTT